AAATAAAAAGAACCCCAAAGCTGTTATTGTTACCGAATCTCATGGTTTTTGGTGAGCCCAACTCATGATTTTTGAACATCTGCAGCTGGCAATACGGGGAATAGCTCCAGGACTGATGGGCACAGGGCACCTGGCCAAGTGGCTGCCCAGAGCCCTGGCTGGCAGCAGGGACAGGTTTCTCTGGAGGTTTCTCTCCGCTCAGAAAGGAGGGAAGGATCCTGGCCGATACCCCAGCCCCCTTTCTGTCCCAGGGGGAGCACAGGCCGGGGGTTGGGGATGGGAGTCCATCAGCTGTGGCCACCAGAGGGCCATGGCCACGGCCACGGGAGGGCGGCCACTCTCTCCATGACCAGATAATCTGCCTCTTTTTTTCCGGATATTGGGGGCTGAGCTTCCTGGGTCAGAGACGCTGCCGAATCTGTAACAAACAGCTGCTGCTCCCCAGCGGGGAGAGTCCTTTCTTAGCGCCCCTCTGTGTCCAGCTGGGGGGACTTTCTCCGGGGGCTGGAACCAGCCCCTGGGGTAGCCCCGGGCTCTGCCGACACCAGCCCCTGAGCCGGAGCCTGCAGGTGAGGGGAGAGACCCGGGGGAAAGGGCTGGGGCCGGGCAGGAAAGTGACTCTGCAACAACGGCCCCTCCTCGTCCGAGCTCCGCTCCCGGGCGGGGTCTGCGAGTCCCAGAGCTGCTGCCCTCCCTGACTCCCCAAGGCTCTGCCCTCCTGAGCTCCTGCAGGAGCCGAGCCAGCTCCGGGAGAGCGAACGCCCCGGGCCAAGCCAGGGACCTCTCCCGGGCAGAGTTTTCAGAACTCGGCGCGTTGGGTTCACGGTGGGAGCTGAGCGGTTTGGCGAATCCGGCTCCAATTCTGGGTGCTCAGCTCTTGGAAATATGCCCCCTGTCTCCTTGCCGGAGGGATTGGGGAGTCAGAAACTAAAGCTGGGGATAGGAGTCGGGTTTGCCAAATGTCCAGACAACTTGGGAGCACAAGTGCCAAGGGAATGATACAGACAGTTTCTTTCTCACTCTCACACTGTTTTTTTCTGGAAGCTGTTTACATAGACAAAGCTCCAGAAACTCTGACCATTAGTTAACCCCGGTGTAACGGGGGTGGACTGGAGAAGAAAGTTGTAACTTCGTAATCAGCTGTAACTTCAAAGAGGGGAGATCCGCTAGGCCATGACCGATCACCCCTAAGTTGTTGGCTTCTTTGACCTTAGATTGGCACTATTTTGTTTTCCAGTTTTCAGGTATTATAGAAAATCTCTTTATAGTCCTGTCCCCAGTTACCTATGTCAGTGTATAAAAGCAATCCCAGGGAGCAGGGCTTTGGAGCTGTGCTCCGGCTCCACTCCCTCTCCAGGCAAAAACCTGCTGCTCCGCGCTCCAGCTCCGGGCTCCGCTCCAAAGCCCTGCCAGGGAGAACACGTGTCATTTATTTTGTATTGGGGTAGCACCTAGGCCAGGGACCAACTGTTTTGAGCAAACTTGCAGTAAATGACAGACCCTGTCCCAGCTACATTCAGACCCCTTCATTCCATGCAGGTACAGTACTTTGTGGGCTTTTTGATTTAACTGATACGGGTATAACAAGAGCCAGTGCCTGGAATTTGAACCTGAAATGAGGTGCAGATATTTAATACTGAGGGAAATTAACCCTTGAAACTAGGGATGTGGTGGCTTCTCCATCACATGGTGTCTTTCCATCAGGACTGGGGGTCTATCAAAAAACTAGAGCACAGCCAGAAGATACCAGCCTGATGCAGGAATCAGTGGATAGTATTCTCGTTGCGCAGGGCACACCAGATGGCTATAATGTTTCCTTCTGGCCTTAAAATCTATGAATTTATTAATCTAATTTGATGATTCAAATGCATTTCTGTGCAGGTGACATCTTTCCAGTTAGATCTTTTTACAGTGTATTTAGCAGGTACTTATGCCTTGTGGCATCTTAGAGACTAATACATTTATTTGGGCATAAGCTTTCATGGGCTAAAACCCACTTCATCAGATGCATGGAGTGGAAAATACAGAGGCAGGTATAAATACACAGCACATGAAAAGATGGGAGTTGCCTTACCAAGTGGGGGATCAGTGCTAACGAGCCAATTCAATTAAGGTGGAAGTGGGCTAGTCTCAACAGTTGACAAGAAGGGGTGAATACCAAGGGAGGAAAAATCACTTTTGTAGTGCTAATGAGGCTAATGTAATCAAGGTGGCCAGGTTTCCAAGGGTGATTATTTTCAACAAAACTTAAGTTGTCAGAGAGTTCATTATAAAGTTGATGAATACTTCAAGTCACTCTTAGCACTTAGTGCTGGGCCTAAATCACTGATGCTCAGTGCTCTTTGGGGCATGGCTAATTATTTCAAAGACATACTGGCTCATCATCCAGATCTGAGCACATGAGAGGAGACAAAAATAGCCTGCGGAGTGGGTCTCAGGAGATCTGGATTCTCTCCTGGCCAAGCATGTCCATGGGCAAGCTGCAGTATTTTCAGTTCCCATTTAGTCACATATATGAAGTGACCAGTTTATTAAAACTGCTCCTCTCCAGTTCACAGCCCCATAGTCCAAACTGCAGGGCCAGAAGACCTAGCCAGAGTATGAGGCACTCAGATGCTACAGTGATGGGACCACATCAGCACCAAGCTGGATAGCTTTGTCCAGAGCGTGACTCAGGTTATGATGCTAACTTATTAGGTTGCTATTTCTTCTTTGTCTTTGCACTTTTGTTCTCTACTGGAATTGTGTCTGATAGCACAAACACCCCAGGTGTGACTCTTGCTATGGTCTTGGTAAACATTTGTCCATGTTTCAGGATGAAACATTCCTGCATCAGCACAGTGATGAGAGAGGAATGGGTTACATTTCAAGGAACTTTTTTGGAGTGAATCCTCAGAAATATGTAATGAACCTTCACCCATTGTCCTTCCCATGAACAGGGTTTCAGTTTCCTAAACTTCAGAGGATCCCTTGGATGGAGCAAGAGGAAAAGCCATGTGTCCTGGATCTCCAGGTCTCCTCAGAAGAGGAGATCCCAAGTGATGCTAGCACAGGTGAGTGATTTCCACAACAGTCCCGTGAGCTCCCCAGATTCTATCTCATCTCATTCAGGACAAACAGCACGGGTTGGATCCTCATGGCAGACATCGCTCCTCTTAGCTACATAGATTCCAAGGCAAGAAGGGACCACTGTGATCATCTAGTCTGACCTCTTGCATAACACAGGCTAGACAGTTCCTAGAGCAGATCTGTTAGAAAAATATCCAATCCTGATGTAAACATTGTCAGTGATAGAGAATCCACCACAGCCCTTGGTAGGTTGTTCCAATGGTTAATTACTGTCATCAGTAAAAATGTGTGCCTTATTTCCTGTCTGAATTTGTCTAGCTTCAACTTCCAGCCATTGGATCGTGTTAGACCTTTCTCTAATAATGAGCTCTAGCAAACATTTGTTCCCCATGTAGGTAATTATAGACTGTGATCAAGTCACCCCTTCACCTTCCCTTTGTTAAGCTAAATAGACTGAACTCTTTGAGTCTGTCATTATAAGGCAAGTTTTCTAATTCTTTATCCCTCATTCTTGTGACTGTTCTCTTACCCCTCTCCTATTTATCTACATCCTTCTTGAATTGAGGGCACCAGAACTGGACACAAGATTCCAGCAGTGGTGGCACCAGTACCAAATACAGAGGTAAAATAACCTCTCTGTTCCTGCTTGAGATATCCTTGTTTATGCACCCCTTTTGGCCACAGCGTCACACTGAGAGCTCACATTCACCTCCACCCCTTTTTAGACTTTTTTAGAGTCACTGCTCCCAGAATAGAGCCCCCATCCCATAAGTATGGCCTGCATTCTTTGATTCTGGATGGATATAGTTACATTTAGCCACATTAAAATGTATATTGTCTGCTTGCACCCAGTTTATGAACCTGTTCAGAGCTCTCTATATCAGTGACCTGTTCTCTTCTTTATTTCCACTCCCCCAGTTTTTGTGTGATCTACAAACAACATCAGTGATTTCTTTATGGTTTCCTCCAGGTCATTGATAAAAATGTTAAATAGTGCAGGCCCAAGGACCAATCCCTGCGGGACCTCACTGGAAACACAGCTGCTTGATGAGGATTCCCTGTTTACAATTACATTTTAAGACCTATCAGTTAGCTAGATTTTAATTCATTTAATGTGCCATGTTAATTTTATACCGTTCTAGTTTTTTAATCAAAATGTTGAGTGGTATCAAGTCAAACACTTTACAGAAGTCTAAATATATTACATCAACACTACCACCATTATCTTTCTTCCTATCTTCTGGAACTTCCCTAGTGCTCCAAGGCTTATTGAAAATCAACATTCCGACCCATCCAGTTCCTTCCCCTCTGAGTGTTCGGGTGGGATGTGGAAGCCAATTGACTCCCTCTTCTCTTGCCTTGAGGGAAGGGTGGGGGTGGTTTTTCAGTCTCCCCATCAGTTATTTTGTTGTTTTCCCTTCTCTCCTGTTCCTCTTTCTGAGGTTCCTTCCCCACAGCACAGGGACTGACTCCTGTCTGGATTCTCTCTCTGTCCCAGCAGGTGACGGGATGGTGAGCGAGAACGAGGAGGAGAACCTTCAGCAGAAAAGTCCCGAGCCAGTGGAACTGCACAGGTCGGTAGCAGGAGAATGTGAAGGGAACGTTTCCCAAAGCCCTGACGAGGGAGAGGCCTGTGAGAGTGAGGACAGGTCAGAAGAGCAGCAGGTGGAGAAACTAGCTGTGCCCAGTCCCTGGGAGGGCAGCTACCAAGAGCTTGGAGATGCCCAGCAGGCCCTGCAGGTGGGTGGGAAGCAGAACATCTGTGCCGAATGCGGGAAGCACTTCTCCCGGCGCTCGCACCTCATCATCCACCAGCGCATCCACACAGGTGAGAAGCCCTACCAGTGCTCCGAGTGCGGGCGCCGCTTCAGCCAGAGCTCCACGTTGATCAGCCACCAGCGCACCCACACAGGCGAGAAGCCCTACACCTGCCCCGACTGCGGGAGGAGCTTCAGCCAGAGCTCCACGCTGCTGACCCACCACCGGCTGCACACCGGGGAGACGCCCTACAAGTGCCTGGACTGCGGGAGGAGCTTCAGCCAGAACTCCACCTTCATCATCCACCAGCGCACCCACACTGGCGAGAAGCCCTACACCTGCCCCGACTGTGGCAAGAGCTTCAGCGTCAGCTCCTACCTCATCACACACAACCGTATCCACCGCGGCGAACGCCCCTACAAGTGCCCTGCCTGTGGGAAGGGCTTCATCGACAGCTCCACCTTCGTGCGGCACCAGCGCACCCACACAGCAGAGAAGCCCTACCGCTGTGCCGACTGTGGCAAGAGCTTCAGCCTCAGCTCCTACCTTGTGAAGCACCGCACCCTGCACACGGGTGAGCGGCCCTACAAGTGCACCGAGTGCGGCAAGCGCTTCGGCGAGAGCTCGGACCTGTTGCGGCACCACCGCACCCACACTGGCGACAGGCCCTTCCAGTGTGCCCAGTGTGGGAAGAGCTTCGGGGAGAGCTCCACGCTCACCCGTCACCAGAGGACCCACCTGGGCAAGGATGCACCTATCTACTAGCCACAATGCTCGGCACAGCCCCAGGGCCACGGGGCAACAGCTGCCCCCCTCAGCTGACTGACTGCAGGGAGGCAGAAAAGAAACCCCCATGAGATCTCATTGCCCGGAGTCACCAGCTCTATTGATATTTGGTGTTTCTCTTATAAAGCCCCAGCTCACAGAGTCCTGTGTTCATTGCACAAGAATCTCTACTTAAAGAGTACTTAAAGAGGGGGAAAAAGAAAGAAAGAAAGAAAAAGTGAGTTTCTAACCCTTATGGTTGTGGAGAAAACCCAGAAAATATGACTCTTGAGGGCTCACGAACCAGAAGTCAAAGGAAAAAAAAGAACCACAAATGTATTGTTGTTTCAAATCTCCTGAGTTTTTGAGGGGGCAAGGGGCCTGACTCGTAATTTTTGAACGTTTTGGGTTGATGATGCTGCATTGCAGGGCCAGAGCTGTTTTCTATGCCTCACCTAACTTTCTTGATTAGAACAAACAAGTTCTGACCATTATGTTTTCAATTAGTGGACCGTATTCACAAGAGTAACTACTGTAACAAAGTTTTAAATGGGAATTTCTTGTTTTTTTTATTACTATTTTAAGAAAAATAGTATGTAAAAACATACTTCCTCAAGTTACTTGAATCCTACAGGTTCAACTAGAAGAGTTTACAAACCCCACAGACTGTGCTTGTAACTCTAAAGATCCTGCATCGCTAGGAGTGGGTTTTGTGTGGTATTGGCATTGGCTTGAAGGGGTTAATAGAACCCTGGTATTACTGTTACAGCATTAAATGGTTAATTGTGGTTTGCTTAAAGTCACGACTGGAGACACCCATTGTAACGACCATCACGAAATGCATTTCATCCTTTTATTAAAGCACACACAAACTATTAGCCATTGGAAGAACAATGTAACGAGGCATGTAGTTGATTCTCCATCAGCTGGAGTCTTTATATCAAGATCAGGTGTCTCTTTCTAAAAGATTTCTGGCTCAATCAGAAGGTATAGGTTGGATGCAGGAATTGTCGGGTTAGACTCTGCAGTCTGTGTTATGCCAGAAATCAGACTTGATGATCAGAATGGCCCCTTCTGGCCTTAAGCTCTATGAATTGTAAAAAGGAAGTGCCGGATGGGAGTTTCAAAGCCGCACAGAGTATGTGGATCCCCCAGTCCCATTTAATTTAATAGGAGTTGGGCCTCCAGAACCTTTAGGCAGTTTTGAAAATCTTGACCTTAAAGCATTTGATATGTAAAAGGTGAAGTAAAACCTTATATGGGCAGTTTCCCTCATTCCCAATCCTCTAGACTGAGTAGACTCTTCTATAGAACAAACTTTTAGTTCTAGTATTATGGTCCAAAGTCAGTTGTAGCCTCTGACTGGCTGTTGCTACCAATTGATACTGTTTCTTCTTATGACAAAACAAATGCACACACCGTTGGGAGAGATAAAAATAGCAGATGATAGCACAATGCAGCTTCTTTCTCTCTGCTTGTGATTGAATGGTTGTAGAATCGCGGGTACAGCTGCGCAGCACACAACTTAGCGGAAAGCTGACTGTATTTTCAAAATAAAAAAGCCTGGAGACTGGTGGCAACATGTTTGAGGCTTGTAAAATAATCGTTCAAAAGTGCACTATTTTTTCCCCTCAAGTGGCACTGGTGTTGCAACTGCTGCCTTCTGACTGAACAGAGGAATTTTTCAGCATCTGGGTGAGTTTAACATGAAGCCCTGAACTAGCATCATGAACATTTGCGGTGAACAGAAGAGCAGCTTTGATAGCATTGGCTTATTAGCTTTTCTCTTCATTTAAACACTGTACATCACCTGGAGCATTTGCTCCACTGGCTGTTTGCCTCGGTAAACACAGAGGGACCTCTGCTTCATGCAGTGATACAGCTTCAACACACGTGAAAAACTGGAACTGCCCCAATACATCCAGCATACTCCCCCATTAGCCGCTGAGACCTGGCAGACTTCCTGTAATTGGGTAAAGCATCATGTCTGTTTCTTCCCTCACTCCCTGGTCTGGCTCCACTGACTCTTGCTGGGTTATTCCCAATTTACACTGACTGACAGGGGAACCAGCCCTGGTGACTCCAGTGGGATTACACCTGATTTACACCAGGGTGAGCTAGAGGGAAATTGCCCCAGTGACTCCCAGTGGGGTTGCACCTGATATACACCAGGGTGAGTGGGAGGGGAGTTGGCCCCATTGTGTACAGCTTGCCGCCTTGGTCTGGCAATGCTGGGAGGGTGGAGTTATCCTGGCTAGGTAAGTTGGACTCTCATTAGGCAGACGGTTGGAGGAGGAAGTTAGGGAAGAGGCAGGAAATCACAGGGAGGAAACTGGCACAGTAAGGAGGCAGTGACAGAGAGCGGGAACCTTTGGCTGCAGGATGCTTGGGAGTTAGCTGAAGCCAGCAGAAGTGGGGACGTTGTCTGGTTCCCACTCCAGGATGGGAACAGTAGGACAATGTAACAGAGGCCTCGGGAACTCGTGAAAGCCCTTTATTGCAGGTTTTCAAAGGAGGCTGGGTAGCCACCTGCTCTGCATGGTTAAGGCTTGGTTTACAGAGTTAGGTCAACCTAATTATGACTGTCTCCACTAGAATGCGGATTCTGCCGAAGTCAGTGGCCTGCTCCACCAACATGACAACTCCATCTCCATGAGAGGCGTAGCGCTTATGTCGGTGTACTTAGGGTGATGCAGTGTCCGTGTAACACTGCGTTACTTATGTTGGCTGTGGGCTGTCATTCTGTCGGCTCACAGCTGGAGCCCCACCCCCCACACCAATTTTAACTAGTTACAATATATTTTCCTGTTTCAATGAAAACATGGAGCACTGTAGGGCCTTCTTACAGTATTAAACAGTAAATCACCATATTCAACAATCCTTAATGTTACTGTACCCACTCCGGAATGGGGGACCTTGCAGATATCAATGAATGTTAGGGGTTGGGTGATGGGTTCAGTCACAAAGACCCCCTTGGGGCTGTCACTTGATGTGCTGAGACTACCTCTGAGCCCGTTTTCCCTGCCAGCTTGGGACTTCAGAACCCTGTCTTGTTGAGCCAGATACACTAATCTGCTGCAACATAGACCCAGGGGCTGAACCACGTGCTCCAAACCTGCAGATTTAACTGAAAACAGCTTAAGAAGTGCTCCTGTCTCTAGCTCCCAGTGGGATCCAAACCCCAAATGAATCTGTTTTACTCTGTATAAAGCTTATATAGGGTAAACTCATAAATTGTCCACCCTCTATAACACTGATAGAGAGATATGCACAGCTGTTTGCTCCTCCCGGTATTAATTACTTACTCTGGGTTAATTAATAAGCAAAAAGTGATTTTATTAAATATAACAAGTATTATTTAAGTGATTCCAAGTAATAACAGATGGAACAAAGCAAGTTACCAAGCAAAATAAAACAAAAACATGCAAGTCTAAGCCTAATACATTAAGAAACTATTTACAGATGAAATCTCACTCCCAGAGATGTTCCAGTAAGCTTCTTTCACAGACTGGACTCCTTCCTAGTCTGAGTCAAGCAATCACTCACACCCCCATAGTTACTGTCCTTTGTTTCAGTTTCTTTCAGGCATTTCTTTGGGGTGGGGAGGCCATCTCTTAAGTCAGCTGAAGACAAAATGGAGCGGCTTCCAGGGCCTTTTATATTCTCTCTTGTGGGCGGAAACCCCTTTGTTCTGTGCAAAGTCACAGCAACAAGATGAAGTCTGTAGCCACCTGGGCAAGTCACATATCTATAAATGATTCAGCTTTTTGCAGGCTGATGCCATTGTTTACATGTTAGTTTGAACATTCCCAGGAAAACTCACATGTGGATTGGCGTCTCCCAAAGTCCATTGTCAGTTAAGTGTTTCTTGATTGGGCACTTACTGAGAATAGGCCTTTCTCAAGAAGCTGACCAAATGCTTCACTGAGGCTACTTAGAATCAAAGACATCGAGAGCCAATATTTATAACTTCAAATACAAAAATGATACACACATACAGCCAGCATAATCATAGCCAGTAAACTACAACCTTTCCATAGACACTGCACTTGACCTCTTCTGTGCATGGTTGCAACCATGATCTATATGGTCACAGTTCATGTCAATAACATCACAGATTGTTTTTTTAAATTTTATTTTAAACATGTTTCTTTCACGCTTAAAGTTGTTGGTTTGTTTTGAAATAACCATAGTAAACACCCTACAAATATTCAGAGCTTTTAAATTTTTGATTGTTCTTACAGCAAATGCTTGTTTTATAAAAGTATGGTGGAGGTTTGTGAACCTTTGAAACATTTCAGTTTTGGGTTAGACCAGGGGTAGGCAACCTATGGCACGTGTGCCAAACATGGCACGCGAGCTGATTTTCAGTGGCACTCACACTGCCCGGGTCCTGGCCACCACTCCAGGGGGCTCTGCATTTTAATTTAATTTTAAAAGAAGCTTCTTAAACATTTTAAAAACCTTATTTACTTTACATATAACAATAGTTTAGTTATATATTATAGACTTATAGAAAGAGAACTTCTAAAAACATTAAACTGTATTACTGGCACGTGAAACCTTAAATCAGAGTGAGTAAATGAAAACTCGGCACACCACTTCTGAAAGGTTGCTGACCCCTGGGTTAGACCCTTGTTTATTTTGGTAAATGTATTATTTTAAACTTTTAATGACTTTAAGTTGCTAGAAAGACTGACCCATAGCATTCAACCAACTCCTGGGGTTTTATTTAAACTGTCCAATAGCATTCTACGAAATCCTGAGGTTTTATTTCATTTGATATTAATCAGAGCTCACCATCCTCACCCACCCGCCTCCCTTATTGTGTGTGTACACCCATCAAACGTCATTACTGATCATTAATATCTATAACTCTGATGGAAACAAGGGTGGATAATTACATCTAGACCTAGATCTACAGACTCATTGAAGGCAACAGAGTCACCCCTGCTATTTCAGTGGGAATGTGGTTAA